AAAAGTTTGATCTAGATGTCCTAATTAAATTTTATTAAATATATTTAATTTTTTTATTTATGTCATGATTGTTTGACAAATTTTACACCAATTATTGCTACCTAATACAACCCTCTAATTTGTTCATCCAAGATGAGTGGCTTTACACTTAGAGACAAAATGTGAAATGAGTATATACCTGAAAGGTTGGAGTAGAATGGCAGATAAGATTAAAGAAAGTTGCCTTAGATGGATTGGTCACATAAAACGTCATCCTTTCAATGACCCTGTTAGGAGAGTAGATGTATTAGATATGTTCTATGTTAAGAAAGACAGAGGTAGACCTAAAGAAACTTGTTTAGAAAGTATTAAAATGAGTTTTTTTTATTAGTTATAGATGAGATTTTCACTCTTAATAGAAAGTATTTATGTAGTAGAGCTCATGCAATGGTTCAATAACTTGTTATTGTTGTTGTTGATTTAAAATTTTGACATTTATCAATTTTATAATATTATTATTCTTTTAATATTTTATTTTATTTTATTTTGTCATTCATTAACATGGATATGAGGTGGATGCAAAATTTAAAATTATTATTTTTTTTATTTTAAATAAATAAAATATATTTTTCTTCATTAACTTAAATAAATTCATAAATCATAATATTCTTTTTTATGATTTATAAATTATCAAAGAAAAGGCTAAGGAGATTGATATATTAGGATTTAAATTATGATATTAAGGTAGGAGTCATAGTAGAAATGGTGTATGTGTGATTATTTATAAGAGTTTAAAAGATAATGCTATAGAAATTAATAGAATTATAGCTTTAAATATTAATATTGATACTAAGATTATTAATATTATAAGTATTTCTGCTCCTCAAGTTGGTTTATATATACATTCAGAATTAAAATTTAAGAATGACATAGAAGAAGTACAAAAAGATACCTCTTAAAAAAAGAGTTTCTATTAGATGATATTTAAATGGACATGTTGTTAGAGAGTTAAAAGATTTTAAAAGCATTTATAGTGGCTATGAGTTTGGAGCAACTAATGAAGGTGATAGGACCATATTAGATTTTGCTCTAACGTATGATATTATAATTACTAATACTTTATTTAAGAAAATCGAAGAAAAAATCATCATTTATAAGAATGGATATAATAAAGCTCAGACTAATTATTTTCTTAAAAGAAAAATATATCATTTTGATTGCAAAGATTGTTAAATTATTCTGAGTGGAAGTTTAAATACACAACATTGATTATTAGTTTTGAACATTAAAATAAAGGGACATAATATAAAAAAAAGTAAAATATTATTCTAGGATTAGATGGGGGCATTTAAAAAATATTAATAAAAAATATTTTTGAGAGTAAGATTCCAAATTTTAAGATTTTGTTGGTGTTTTTGTTGGTGTATGAGAAAGCTAATATCATGTGAAAAAAAGTAGCCAGTGATATTAAAAATGTTGCAAATGATGTGCTTAGAGTATCAAAAGAAAAAACTATTAATAGTAAAAATAGTTTATGGTGGAATCAAAATCTAAAAAAAAAAGCTTTGTTAAATAAATTGGTTTAGATTAAAAGTTTAAAAAATTGGGAAAGATATAAAGAGGCTCATAAAAAATCTAAGAAAGAAATATGCAATGCAAAGAATTTAGCTTTTAATGATTTATATAATATATTAGATATTAAGGAGGGAAAAAGATATATATAAATAAGTTTGCCAAGCAAGGAGATAGAAGAAGTAAAAATTTAGTTCAAATGAAGTGCATTAAGGATGAAGAAAAAAAAGTGCTTTTATTAGAAGAGGATATTCAACAAAAATGAATGAGATTTTTTATAAGCTTTTCAGTGAATATTATGAGAATAGGTTTGACTTTTGTGACCTTAGCAACCTAAATAAAAATAATTTTTTTTTATATTTTATTGACGTATTAAAACCAAAGTTAAAGAGGCTTTAGAGAAAATAAAATGTTAAAAAGTTGTTGGACCTTATGATGTTCCAATATAGGTGTAAAAATCTTAGGAGATGAAGGAATTTATTGGCTTACAAAACTTTTCAATATTAATTTGAAGACTAAAAAGATACCATATGAGTGGTGAAGGTGTGTGTTGATTCCTAGTTTTAAGAATAAAGGTGAAGCACAAGAGTGTGTGAATTTTAGAGGAATTAAGTTTGTGACATACTTTAAAACTATTTGAGAGAGTTATTGAGCATAGGTTACGGCATGATATTAATGTTTCTCAAAATCAATTTGGATTCATATCGGGTAGGTCGACAATGGAACCTATACATTTCTTAAGAGATTTGATGGAGAAGTATAGAAAGAATAAGGAGGAATTATATATGATTTTTATTAATTGTAGTTATATAATTCGTTAATTCAAGTGAATATCCAAGGGAACTCCTCTTGAGGGTGCTTGTCCTCGTTACAACCCAACCATTACCTACTAAAGCACCTTTGAAGACATTTATGCATATAGAGAAACTATCTTCACTTTTTTCTTAAGAGTCTAGGTTGAACAAAATTTCATCCATAAAAATACCAAATCTAAGAATATAATTTAATAACTTCTTCAATCTATTTAAATGTTCCAACCCTAATATGTCTTTTATAGAGACAATATGAAGTAGTATGAAAAAAAAATAGTATAAAAAATACCTACACTTTTTTGAAAAATAGTGACCTACAAAAGTGCAAACTAACTACAATTAATTTTCTTTTGTTGGCATGGATGTAAATGGATACTTTTTTTTCTCTTTTGGGGATTTTTATTTTTTATTTTTTTTTTGTTATGTCTTATGTTTTACAACTTTATAATTTCATTAAAATTAAAATACTTCATTTAAAAAAATAACACATACAATTTGGACCCATAAGATGTGCCAATCAAACCATGTGAGTACAACTTCTAATACTTTGATATCAAAATATATAACTATCAAATGAGTTTAACATGTATGCATATAGAGAAACTATCTTCACTTTTTATGGTGCCTATTAATGCCTACTAAGATTGGCTTACCAAGGCCATGTTTAAAATAAATCATAGAAAATATTGATGATTATGCTAACAAATTGTGCATTAGCTTCCATTAACAAAATAAAGGTGAAAACATTTATATGTCCATCATCATTATTTTTCCTTACAATGCTCCACATGGTTGCAGTTGTATTTGTGGATGAACATGACATTTCGACGTATGCCATCAAAGCAGCAGACGATGAAAGAACTCTAAACAAAGTCCTCTACATAAGGCCTCCTGCAAACATCTACTCCCATAATGAACTCATTTCTCTTTGGGAGAAGAAGAAAAATATAACCCTCGAAAGAATATATGTTGCTGAAGAAGAGGTCCTTACAAAAATAAACGGTAATTTATTTATTTATTTAACCATAAATTCAAATGTTCAAGAACATCAAATGCTTGAGATGTTTATACAATTTTTTCATGCAAATCTCGCAGAATCCCCTGAGCCATTACCTTTCTTTTATGCAATTGCTCATGCTGGCTTCATTAAGGGAGAAACAATAAATTTTGATATAAATCCAACAGTTGGAGTTGAGGCTTCCCAACTATACCCAGATGTCAAATACACTACTGTTCAAAATTTTATAGATCAATTTCTATGAGCTGCAAATTATTCAAAATAAGCCAACTTCCTACCAGGCAAAAAACTTTATTTTGGTTGCAACTATTTGGGTATTGAACTTAATGCAAAATAATGTGGTGTTCTCTTCATGTGAAAGGTTTTTTTTTTTCTTGTTCTTTTTTATTTTTTTGCCAGAAAGATTTGATGTGTTATAATCCAAGAGAGAATCAAAACCAAGATCCTAAAAATAACTTTCAAAACCCATAACAACTAGACTCTAATATGTTAATGCATAAATATGATTTAATTTACATTTATGCCACATAATTCTTATATGTTTACATATCTAACACGAATCCTTATATTTACTTATATAACATTCAATTCTTTAAATTATATAAAAATAGCACTAATATTCATTAATCTAAAGTTAAATAATCTTTATGCATATATTTTGATGTGATTGAGACATTAAAATGTCATGCATGCAAATCTAAAATTTAGATGCAACATTATAAGTACATATGAATTCAATTGTATGCAAATAAATGTGGTAAAAGCAAGGATATATATATATATATATATATAGAATGAAGAAAGAGAACGAAGATATTTCTATTCCTTGTTTATACATCATTGACTTGAAAAGTAATCTATGCTTGAGGGTGGTTTTCACCCTATTCGATATATATATATATATATATATATATATATATATATAACCTACTTTAGATTTAAAACATTAACTTCTTATCTTTTGATTTTATAACCATGAGGCTATCGAATATAGACTTCTTCTTTTAGGGTCCATTGGTGGTTGAATCAATTGTTAAAGGGCCTTATTTAGCTTTAAAACAATATCTTCTTACATTTTGACTTAAAACCTAGTGGCTGTTAAATATAGACTTCTTCTTTGAGGAATCCATACAAGAAGATAAATTTTGCATCCTATGTTGGGCTCACTTGAGTCAAACTCACAAGTCCAAATCAATCCTATCTATACCTTAGAAAGTCTTTTTAAGACTCTAATGTAGTTGCCCTAGGTGGCCTAATCGACTTGGGCTAACCCAAGTGGGTAAAATCCCTTAACCCTAACTAACACCCAAATCCAAATTCTAAGTAAAATAACTAGTTTTAGCCTAACCTAAATTATTCCCTAGCTCCCTTGGACCTTTTAAACGATTTCATAGTCAGTAGGATATCTAGTACCCTTACAGGAGGCAAGTTCAACCTAGGTCAAACCACCTATATGAACTTACCCCTTATAATCGCATGGTAGAGGCTTCTCTTCCGATAGTAATGTGTTGGGATACTTGTCACATTTTAAATGGCCGGTACCTAATGGACTTGCCAGTTTGAGAGATCGTAGTGGCTAAAATTTAGTCCACATTCAAACTAGATTTTCTTATACATTGGTAACCTTAGGGCTTGAATTTGAGTAGAATTGATTATCCCTCTCCTTCCCTAGTGGGTATGTGAGAGATCCCTTACTTCCTAAGCTCCTAGCTCCTTTATTTATGTACAAGATGCCCAAGCTTCGACGAGGCTTTCATGGTGAAAGTGAGTCTCGCGATCCAACCCTTCTCAATTAAAGCTTCCTTTGAGAAATTTGTTCATTGTGCTCAAAAGAATTCATCCCAACAACTAATTAGATCCTATAACCATCTATTCATGGTATGCAAAATTCCTCTCATCCATGATCTTGAGTTTCACATATTGTGAAGGGAGTGCAAAACCTAGTATCAAACTGTTGGATCTAAGTGTCTTAAGATCTTCATAATCCTTGATCTATTGGATTAAGAAAGTCCTCTTTGATTGTATAAGTTTAATGGGATTTTATCTAAAAGTCTCTATTACATGATGCATTTAAGAGATGATGAAATCATAATATATTATATTCAAATAAAACGAATGGTTTATATATATATATATATATATAGAGAGAGAGAGAGAGAGAGAGAGAGAGAGAGTTGTATCCTATATCGTCCATCCTTCCCGTGTCATCATGAGATTAATTTACAGATGAGGTTAATCCCTCATGGACCATGAGACCCATTAATTAACAGAGACCCAATAAGAAGGAGAAATGTGGAAAGTGTACCACATCAACTAAGCTTAATTAAATAAGTTTAATTTATTTAATAAAAAAACTTCCTAGATCTTTGAATCATATAAAATTTATTTCTAATCCAAATTAGCCAAAAAAAAAACCTTCTTTGGATTCAATAAAAAAAATCAGAAAAAATATATAAATAAATTTTAGATAAATCTTGCATATATTATTACTTAATGAATATGCAAGGTTAATCCATATATTATTACTTAATGAATATGCAAGGTTAATCAGGTAATTATTACCTTCCTTGGTGTCAAATTCATATGATAAACTCTATGGTTTGTCTCACACACCTTTGAGTTTTCTCATATGAGTTTGAGATCTATCTAAACCTAATTGATTTTTAAAGTAAATGGCACTAAAATAAACTAGAATTTTGAAAACTAAAAAATAATTCTCCGCAATCCCTAAAATCTTGAAATTAAATTCAAATCTTCTTTTATCCTTATAGACTAGATGGAAAAATTCTTAAACCCGAAAAATCTCTTTTCATACCATTAATAATTAATTAAAGGTATAAACCCTAGAGCTTAAAATAATAATAATAAATTCATTTTAGATTTAAATTATCTCAAATTTTCAAAAAAAAAAAAAAAGGACTTAGGGGTTCATATGAGCCTATGGTTTTAATTTCATTAAGATGTGAGGCCATTTGCTTAAAAAACTCTCAAACCATAATTTTAAGTTAGGTTAGGGTACCTAAGGATCTAGGAATACATAATACATTAAAAATTCAATAAAGAGTTATAAAATATTTAAAAAAAAAATTGTAATAAATCATAGAAGCAAGAATACTAATTTTAAACTATTCTAAGATTAAAAAAAAAGGCTTATAATTTTTTTCTATTAACTCAAAAGTTAAAATTAATAAACCATTAGAAATCATGAATTACTGAATTTTAGTTAAAATTTTTAGAAATTCATTGTTAGATCTATAATGTTGTGGTTCAAGTTTTATAAAAATTTATAGTTAATTTAGAGTTAACTTAGTTAAAAAATAAAAATAGGTTCAAGTAATACTATAAAATTATAAAAAGTATAAATGATCTCAAAATTTTTAGAGCCCATTTTAATAAAAAAATATTTATTCAATAATGAATAAATAAATTTTAGAGTAATTCAAGATAATTCCAAATTTTTATGAGATTTCCTAAGGTTGTTCAAAACTTTAGTGAATTATTTCATAATTTTTGGACATTATCTAAACTAAAAATAAATCTTTCTCTGAAAAACTTGTATATAAAAATATAAAAAATAGGCATCTAAAAATTAAAATAAAATTAAAAATAAATTATAGAGTGACACCCTCATAACTTATCACATACTATGTGTTGGATATAGGGCAAACCTTATCCTTTTTAGGGTATGTTGCTTGCTTGTATTTTATTTCTCATGTTTTGACTTATACTACTTTATATTTCATTATATTGGAATGCGTTAAATCAATAAGTACAAAGCTTGAAAAAAAAGAAACTTAATTTTTTTTTATTGCTAGATTTGAACCAAAATAAAGATTTGAAATTAGTTTGTTGGAAAATTTACTAAAACTTGAAAAATAAATTTTTAAAGAATTACAAAATTTTGAAGGAGGAGGATATAGAGATCTGATAATTAGTTAGTCTTGTGTGAGGGCATGAAAGAAGTTCTCTAGATAATTAGTTACCTCGACTTTTATGATTAATAACATTTCAAGAGAGGTGAATCTCTTGAGAATACTCTTAATTAAAGTAATGAAAAATAATTTTATGATCTCAATATTTTTGATAAGGATGTGATTTTAGAATTTTCAAAAAGAATTATTTTAAATTTTAAACAACTCTTTTTAGATGCCAATGAAAGAAATTGGGGAGCATTGAATTCTTATTAGAAGTTTTGAAGTATTCCAAACTATTCTATATTGAGCTTTAAATCTTTGAAATTAAAATTTAATATTTGAGTTGTTCATTTAATTCGAACTTCTGCGCTTACGTTTTAAAAATCATAAAATGAGAAAATGCCTAAGAAGTGAAGACTTATGATATGAAAAAATAGCCTTATACCCTTAAACTAAGATGAGCATTGCGTAGTAATAACTCGAACATATGTTTAAAGAAACATGATTGACTTACAGCTTTTACGTCACGAAGAATTTAAGAAACTACGACTATTCTAAAGAGGACTGCTAACTAAATCCACTTGATGGATTCAAAATCATGATGCCAAAGTCACTATACAATACAATGAAGATGGGGTATTGTTATTTAAAGAATTGAGACTTACAACTTAGCCACCAAGCTAAGCTCCTGTATATTAAGGACACACAAATTTTCTAGCTAATGCAAAGTTTTATTCTTTTATTTATTATTATTTTTTTCTTAAAGGGAGCTTTGTATTTGTATTTATTTTGATTCCTTGATGCTATTCCTAGTTATTTTATTTGATTCATAAGAAAATCAGGTTTTCATATTACCAAGCATGAAAGTTTGTATATCACACCAATTTGATTTTTTTTTAATAGATCAGGATGACAATTTGTGCAAATCAAATGCTTTGATTCAATCATGTTTTTTTTTTTTTTTCAATTAGGCATTTAATATTTGCAATACAATGAAATGTAAAAGCTGAATATAAAATACAAGAGAGTAAAATGCAAAAGAAAGAAAACACCCTACCCTAAAAGTTTAGGGTTGGTGCCCTATCCAACATCTAGTATGTGCTAGGTTTCACTCTATTATTAGTTTGCTCTTTTAAGTTTGAATTTTAAATTTGATTAATTTTTATCAAGGGGTGGTTTAATTTTAGTTTTTAATGATTTATAGCTTTAATTTGGAACTTAGGAGTACTTTGTGAATGATTTTTTTTTCTTTATTTGATATTGTGGTAATTCATTTAGTTTATTATTCTCTAAAATTTTTTGAGCTAATATAAATTTATTTCATATTTTTCTAATTTTCTTGAATTTCCACTAAAATTTGTATTTTTTGTTATTATTTATTATATTATTAAATCTAGGTCTTTTTTATTTTTGTTTTAGCTTTAAATGAA